TATATACATATATATATATGAGTCAAAAGTCTCCTGCATCCATTTATTTCATTATGAAAGTACTGAAAATATATTAAGAAATCACTTCATAACAAATGAGACTGGAAAGTAACACTGAATAAAACCACATTCAACTAGAGCTTTCTTTCATTCCAGTATTGTTTAATGATAATAAAATGTTTAAAAACAAATGTTTTCAATCTAGTTGAGATCTTCCTCAGGTCTACATGAAATGAAATGCGTTTGAATGTTAACATATTTTGAAAAAACGAAACTTTTCAAATTTTTGTATAAAGAGCAAAAAATAAACATCAAAAAACCTTTATCCATTATATTATCACAATGACTCAATCATGTTTGCATCATCATAGTTCTCATGTATGTACATATAGCATTTTCCAAGCATATGACAGTTATTGATCCTTTTTAAAGTTGATACAATGAGCCTGTTCTCTGGTTTAAAAATTTCTATGGCCTCCAGGGTTTCTATGTACTCAGGATGCTAGATGTTTTGACTATAGTTGCTTCATTGAGTAGGCATATAGTTGAACATCGTTATCAGACACGTAAGGGGCCAGTGCAGTGCTGTTTTTCTTTTTATTTATATCATATTTGTGTTCTGCTATTTAACTTTGAGCGAGTGTAAGGTTGAGCCTATATATTCCAGGTTGTTGTCAAATCTATCATCTCTCATGGGAACATTATAAATCCCTGGAATTCTGAGCAAGTTGTTACGATCCTTCCCATCTTTAAGGATAATAAAGATGATACAGTTGCATCTATATGTTAATTGTATATCCCCGTATTTTGCTATTTCTTTATATATTGGTAGCATGTTGTGATGGTAATCTAGAATGGTACATTGTGGTGTACGTACTCACAGGAAGTATTAATGTTCATGAGGTGTTTGTTGTTAGAGATGGCCCAGGCTAACGTTAAAAATAATTTTCATAATAATTTAAAACAATTAAGTTTATTCATGAATTTAAAATTCATTTTTTTTTAAAAGGAACACCAACATCTGTTTACACACTGCTAATTAAGAATCCAGAAAACAGTTGTAGACTAATTAAATAATGCTCTTTAACTTTGTTATTGGAACTTTTATGTTATCACTGTTCATTAAAAAATCTAGCTTTATTTATTTGCTTAACTTTCCCAGCATCATTTAAAACTGCATGTTTGGTATCATATTTTATTATTAAAAACTTTTTATAGTTTTAATTATTATAAAATGGCAAAAAGCTTAATTTTGAAGTTAGGAATAAGTTTTATAAAAAATTGTAAATGCTAATAATAAATAAAATTGCCATTAAGTCTGACCCTACTTGAGACATGATACATGACCCCCTTTATCTCACCACCCCATTGACTTTTAACCACCAAAATTTAATAGCATTAATACCCCTAATAGACAAACCTCCCTGCAAAAATTTCAGAAATTTTTGACAAAAAACACGAGTTTATTAAGTTTTGAAGAGGTTGAATAAAATCATGCCCCATATACACTAAAATCCATACACACAGAGGGGAAAAACCTCAAATTTTTTTTTGCTTTTCTTGACATTTCAAAATTTTCTGAGTCCAAAAATGTGAAAATCTTGGGGGTCATTTTCTGACTCATCACCATACTTTCCCTCTGTTATGTATAACTGAGCCAGAAAAGTAAAAATTACAACATAAGTAACCTTGAAAATCATTTAAGGTCAACAAAAATGTTCCATCCAATTCTCCATGCGTGACTTCCTATGTACTGTACTATATTAACAAAATTAATATATTTTTAGTGCTTTTGAAGTGAAAGGGACAGAAGAGACTTTTAACTTGTCCTGTATAAAATAAAATACAAGTTCTAAACTATCTGAACAACTAATTAAATGGCAGATTAAATTACATAAAATATTGCTTTTGACAAATTTAACCAACATAATTTTTTCATATATCAATACATAAATGAATATTCTATATACCAGTAGACCCTGATTATCCAAGGCGAACCTGTAAGTAAATGCATTACTTTTCTTATAATGTAATTCATAAAAGTTTAAAATAACATGCATTCCAAAATGATTTGTTTTTGTTACATGTTATCATTTAACTTCAACATGAAACAAACCATTCATATAAAAATTTAACTACAATAACACACATTCTTATTATTAAGACAAACTATTGTACATATTAGCTTATAATAAAATAATGTAAAAACAGTTGTTCTTTCTTATACATGATTATATTCACTAAGGTAAGGTACATTTGTAATTTTCAATCAGAAATGTGATCATTCTTTTTATGAGTTTTTGATTATATAAGATAACATTGGTCCATGTTATTTCAGTTAATCAAGGTTCTAATTCTACTATATTTATAATTTTAATAAAATTTACACAAAAAGTTTAGAGTTTCAAAGCAGGAATTTTTTTTGGGTCCAAAATATTCTGTACAGCTAATAATTTATTATTTGTATTCTATCTCAACTATATAAAATGTAATTATTTTTAAATTTAGAGTACTTTTGTAAAACACAACTTGTCAAAAGCAACAGAATATTTTGCAACAATATATATAGAAAGACAAGCATTTATATCTAAATAAAATATTCAAAAAAATTTATTAAAAAGTTAACATTCAAATTAACAGCATTCTTGAATCACATATTTATTTAAATATACACAACTTACATCAGGATGCTCTTTGATAGGAACATAAATCTTTTCAGAAAGTGAAATTACTGGTCCTTCAGGATCTGGTAATAATAATGGTTCTTTTTTGTTTCCATTATTTTGGAATAAAGAACTTCGAACTTTACCAATTTCTGAAAAATAAAACAAGAAACTATTTGCAATATGACAATAATAATAATAATAAACTAAAATAAATTAATTATTACACCTACAACGTTGTTTCATATTCTGTTTAAAAGAGTTAATGGAAAACAAATCAGAATACTTCTAATAATCAAATATAATAAAACTACATTGGTCTCAGTGATATGAAATGCTAGAATGTAAACAAATTTCTTACAAAAAAAATTTTAATCTCAAAAAGAAAAATTGGTACTTTTCTGTTAATGGGATACCAGCTGATATGGTAAGATTCAAGCTCTAAATGAGGGGTTTTGCACCACCCCCAGAATTTTGAACCCTTCATTATAAAATCAGCTCTAAAGATCAATTTTTAACATGTATCAGTATCATGCCTCTTCTACATGCTTCACACGTAGTCATGCACTTCAGTGCTTGCTATTGTTCACCCCTGTGAGCAATAGCAAGCACTTAAATTATTGATCACTTTCTAATTTTAAGGAGTGTGGGTGAGCCCCCACATGCCATAAAATTATATAACATTAACAACCAGTGTGCTACTCAAAGCCAGCACAGTCATGTGGACTAAATAGTTAATAGTTAAATTGGATAGTCTCAGCAGAGTGACATGGATGACAGTATTGCACATCAGATTAAAGTTACAACTGGCATCACATTAACAGAAAAAAACCAAAAAATTTTATAAAATGAGGAGGAGAGGTCATGAATGGTAATTAGGGATTTGGATGAAACTGGACTCAAATAATAGATGATGATAATGATGATAAACACTAGAAAATGACTGGCCAGTTACACATGGACCTTTCATATATGAAGGTCCAAAGAAACCTTTCAGATATATGAATAAAAACACATTTAAACTCTGCAGTATTTGGGGCATTAAGAAACCCACAAAATGTATATTTTTGAAATCAAAAGAGCTACAAGCTTTTGAATTTGTGCAACTGTTTAATTTAACACTGGATAAGTCTCACTTGTCAAAACATTTCTTTCTAAAAGATAAAGGATGAGCCTCACTGTTTCTAGTTTTACTTGTTATTCTTTGGAGCTGGATGGCTTAGACCAGTGTTCTTCAACCTTGGATCTGCAAACCAGCACTGGGGGCCTATTCTGAGTAGTATTGTTAAGCTAACGAATACGATAAAAACCAGTTTCTATTGGAACCACGTGATTCACATTTAATCAACTGTGAAAATGCTATTCTGAGCCATATTTAGTCCCGATAGCCACGTGCGATAACTAAGCTCTTATTATCGGTCACTCTCAAGCTGCCGTTAGGAACGTAACGAAAGCATAAACACACGTCTTTTGGTATAAGAATGATTTTACTTCACAAGCAATTAGAGAGACAGAGTTAATAAACTATGTTGTTGTATTGCTTAAACATAATTACCTTAAGTATTTATGAATATTATATGAATAATGTAATTGTTTTCTTGTTAAAATTTAAAGTAAGTAGCTATAGCATGAACATTATTTCTGAAATAGGTTTCATTTGCATATGTATAAATTAAAATGATAGTCATATATTTATATTCTAAGCCAGAGGTCTCCAAACTTTTTTTATCGTCGACCCCCTGCAACTTTTCGAAACCTCACATTGACCCCACCAAAAAGTTTGTGTTTCAAGCAAAAACAAAAAGCGCTTACTATTTTAATATATATCTTTTAATTTTATATTTTTTACATTTAATGTACAGTACATATGTTAATAATTTTTGTAACTGATAATCAATAAGATGGATAAGCTTGATAATCCTTAGCAAGATTACCAATATTCGGTTCAAAATTTGTAAGTTTTAGTCTTTTCATCGACCCCTCAATAATGTTATATCGACCCCTGGGAGTCGATATAGACCACTTTGGCGACCCCTGTTCTAAGCTCTCAGTTCCTTTTCGCCATCTTTCCAGATCTTTTTGTGAGCCGACTCCATTGGAATTCAGATGATCGGCTATTTCTTGCCACAATTTCTGGCAATATTTTATGGTAAAGAAAGCATATAACATCCCTGACATTAATTTAGGGTTGTCTTCTATAAAATTAATGAGCATCTCAAACTGCCGACTTGTAGTTTGCTGGCTTCGTTGGCCTTTCTTTGACATTTTAAAACAAAACTATTTCACTAGCACTGGTACACAACAATGCTGTATTTTTGTCATATGACTGCACATGACAAAAATACAATGTTAACTAAACTGTGATTAGTTAAAGCGTAACAGCTATCTATAGCCTAGAACCCAGACTCATCTCGACCGACTACCCGTAGCGAAACCCACTTAACGTGGAGCACAGAATAGCAATTTGTCTAAGGTTCGTTAAATGCCTTTTGCTAAGGGAACTTATTGAATATCTTGTGTATCACTCTCGTTGAGTTATCGGAAAAGCACAGAATAGGTCCCATGGTCTGTGGAAATTTCCTGCCAGTCCGTGAGAAATTTCATAGACTAGCAGGAAATTTTGTAATGACAAAATTATATTAATTACAAGCTTAAAATCTTATTAACAGTTTTTATTTATTTTTTATTATTGCAATTGTTTAAATAAAGTTACGACAGTCATGTGCATCACCCACATCTAAACAGTTTAAATCTAAGAAAATTTATCTTTAACCTTCTGCCAGTCTGCAAAATATTATTCCTATTTTTGCCAGTCTGCAGGTGTGAAAAAGTTGAAAAACACAGGCTTAGATCCATCATCTATAGTTGACATAGTAAGTATATTTAATGAAGAAACTATCATGTCCACAACTAACAAGGAGATGGCCAGATGTTTGCATCACCAATTCAAATGAAACTTTGTGAGCATGTAGCCCTAAACACAAATAGTTCCTTGTCCAAATAATAGCACCCACTTTTCAAGCATTTCTGAAAAACAGGCTGCTGAAAATTGACTGTTTAACTTATAAGTCTAGAAGTTCTATCCTAGAAATGGCAAGTAGCTGAGTGGCTAGAGCCCTTGCAAATACCTGTGGTTTTGGTTATTTTCAGTCAGAAAAGTGTTAAATATTTTGAGTAAACTTTTCAGATAGAAAATGAAATTGTTTAGCAGTTGGTAATCAAAATTTGTATAAATCAAATTATTTCATGAAAGTTTCATAGTCTCATGTACTCATATTTTAAAAAGTTTAAGTACCACAGTACTTTGGGGTATTGGCAAGCTTATCATCACTCTTAAAAACACTGCACAATTTTACTGCTAACCATGGTTGGCAGACAGATTTGTTGCCTAATGATGTTTGTGGAGAGAGCAAACACTAGGCAACATTTTTCTCCAGCAACCAGTCACATGATATAGCATTTCCAAACAATAGCTGCCGCTGTTAAGAGGTGTACTGCTATTGCTTTTTTTATTAGCAAAAATAAAGAAAGCGATGAAAGGAATATGATGATAAATGTCACTTCACACTACTGTACTTGTAAACTGGCATTAGTATCATCCAAAATGTTCACTGATTGGTTGTTGGTGACAACAAATTGTTTTTCCAAACTTTTAGAAAACTAAAGTTGACCAACTTATTTTTGAGCAATTCATTTTGTGACATAAAAATCTGCCAACAGACCACACTGAGGAGTAAAATTGTTTATTATTTGTCCCATTTTTAACGGAGGCAACATAACCATAAAAGTTGCAATTGTATAAAAAATTCCTACACAATCTTGTTTTCCTACTGTTTGTATATATGTTTTGGAGTGTTCGTAACAACATATTCAAAAATTATATGCCACCTCCTGCCTTGAAATATTAGCAACTGACTGAACAGGGATAAAGCTGGTCAAAGTTGGACTGGATTGATAAATTAAGGCACTTGGGCAATCTACAAAGATGGAGTAGAGCACATACTATATATTTCAAACAGCAGACAGCTTTTTCCACTTTAATTAGCATATTTAATCAAACTTTAAGAAAAACAGGAAAAAGCATCTTAAGTAAACAATGAGAAGGGGGAAAAAATTACAGCATTTGTTGAATCAGGCTTATTTGTGACTGAAATTGCAAAAAAACAGTAAAATCAAAGAAAGTTATTTACAGTTACTTAAATTTAAGAGAAATTTCAGCATCCAACAGGTCTAAGGTAGCTTACTATCAAAGAAACAAAATTCCAAGAGAAATTGCATCATAAAATACTTCAACAAGGCAGATCACATCTAGGAATGACATCAAAATATTACAATATATAATTTGAAAAATGGCAAAGGACAGTAAACATCTAGAGTAAGTTAAAAAGAAAGACACAAAGTCTACCAAGGATAAAATGGTAGTAAGAATAGCTGGCGTGAAAGAGTATGTCATGGAGAGTAGAATAGAAATCTATAGTATTTAGTGAAAAAAAAATTAAATTTAGATGATCCTGATGGTTTGTTTTGTTAAGTCACAGCAATGCAAAACTTAGGCAATCAGCCTAGGGGGATGCCATCCAGGAGGTCTTTTTAAGGATAACTGGTCCCTATTCAGGCATTACTGACATGGAGAAAACCTGGAAAACAAACATGGCCAGCCTGTCCTAGCGAGGCAAGAACTGATGACCAAACTCCCAGTGTTTGAGAAACAGAACTACTTGGCCATTGGTGGGCTGATGATCCTGGAGATTTTATTATTGACACAATCTCCAGAAAGAACCTGAAATAGTTTCAAACATTAGCAAGATAGAGAATAAATTATGACACAGGCTAATTTTGACAATAGTGGCAGTATCAATGTGAATTCATACCAATATGACTAGAATTCATTTAGAACAAAATATCTAGAATTTCTTCTAGAACAAAATATAAAAAGAATAGGGAAATTTAACATCAGATTAATGTAAAAACATACAAAACAGTAGAGAAAGGTAAACCTTTAACTGATACTAAATATACAGTAATGAACAACTTGAAAAATTTTATTAAAATTAAGTATATGAATATATATGAAAACTCAAACAACACAGTTCTACAGTTCCAAAATTAGCAAAACTTGTGATAATTTATGTTACAGTCGACCCCCGTATAA